AGAGATTGCAAAGGAGAATGAGCAACTCAAGTAAGAAGTAGTTCGTCTCACCAAGGACTTGACTCAAGTGAAAGGCAAGGCAAAGCAAACCCAACTTCACCAAGATAACACCGTCAAGGGAGTGAAGAAGCTTGATGAAGGACAAACCGTGGTTTGTTACATATGCCACAAGGAAGGCCACAAGTCCTATGAGTGCAAGGTGAAGAATGGGGAAGGAGCAAAGAAGAAGGAGAAAAAGAAAACAAGCAAGTTCTCCAACACCTACACCAATAAGGTGGACAAGAAGGCCTCCACACCTTATCTCTTGAAGAAAAAGAAAAATGACAAGGTGGTGGCCATCAAGGTGAACAAGCAAGCCAACAATGGGGTCAAACGCTTTTGGGTGCCAAAGGAGATCATTTCCAACATGAAGAGCACCAAGAAGGTTTGGATCCCGAAAGGGAAGTAAGAAGTCCAATGGACATCGGGGAATTTAGAGACTTGGCAAAGTATGGGTGCATTTCATGGGGTGCATCATGATGGACAAAGTTATTGCCAAGTGGGTTAGTGAATACTATGGACCCAAATTCCCCTTTCCATGTTAGGTAACTAGATGTTATTGCTTTCAATTAGTATTTTCTTCAAATAGTATTGCTTTCAATTGATATTATTTTTCAATTGGTATCTTTTTAAGCATCTAGTTACTTCTAATGCCTATGTTTGCATTTGCATTCTTAAATCTGTTGTCATACATACAATAGGTATATCTTATGGTAGGATTGCTCGGTTTTATTTTTAACTCTTGGAGCAAACCTACATGGTTTAAAATTGTTTAGGAGCAAGGCACATAGCTTGTCTTACAATTGTTCATCTAATATGTGCCAAAGTCCAAATTGTAGATAATTTCTCCCAAATATCATCTCTCAAGTGGTATTGTGATTCCAAAATCAAATGTGCATGAGTACTTCAAGTATTCCACGCTTGCATGCACAAATTAAGGGGGAGGATCATCTACAAGATGGATGCTTTGAGACTAACCACTTTACAAGCTTATCATGTAGTAGTCTCATTGCAAGGAGAATGGAGTCCCCGGAGATAAGCATCATTCTTCATTTGGTATCATCATGTTGACTTCATTTAGATATTTATATGCTTTCTCCATGCATTATATAGATTAAACTTCTTCGTGCAATAATTTGCCAATTACGCATATGCTTTGCCTTCCATCATATGTATGCATATATTTAGGGGGAACTTAGTCTATATAATGTAAGAGTCAAAATTTGTGATCTATTCTATTCTTCATACAAGGATCACAAAGTTTGACCCTCCCTTGTGCTACTAATGTCTTCCTTTTCGGTGTTTGATGCCAAAGGGGGAGAATTTGGAGGACCAAAGGCAAGCATTTATTTGGTGTCTATAAATGGAAATGGTCCAAGAAAGGGAGGATAGTGGGTTATGGATTAGTCTAAGTAATGGGGAGAATTAATAAAGAACATGGCCTAAATCCATAATACCACACGGGAACATTTGCAAGGGCAAGTTAAGCTTTAAATAGTTTTTCAATTGGTCCTACAAGTTGTTTCTTCAATTTGTATCAATTGGTATCTTTTTAGTATCATATAACCTTGTCCTTTTGCATTGCATCTTAGCAAGTAGATAGTTTTTAAATTTCACATTCTTATTATTTGCTTGCTTTGGTCGTGTTGTCATCAATCACCAAAAAGAGGGAGATTGTAAGGAAAATGGACCCTTGGCCCATTTACTTTGGATTTTGGTGTTTGATGACCAACACAACCAAAATTGGACTAATGAATTTGCAAGTGTTTATTTTGTAGTTCAATAGGATGCAAGATGTGACTTGGACGAAGGCGATGTGGTGATCCGATGATCAACACTTTAAGAAAGACCTTAGGAGCACAAGAGAAGACCCAAGAGATCAAGTAAAGTCCAAGCATGAAGATTGGAACCAAGCCGTATGCAAGATCGCGAAGAAACGAGCTCACTGTGGGGACCAGACGCTGGACCGGACGCTGGACAAGCGACCGGACGCTGCGACCGGATGCTGGGTGGAGACTCAGTAGACAGGCGACCGGACACAAGGACCGGACGCTGGCGGCAACCGATCAGACGCAGGAACGCAGCGTCCGATCGATTACAGTAAGGTTCCAGAGCAGCAAATCTGCGACCGAACGCGTCCGGTGGCAGGCGACCGGACGCTGGCTAGCGTTCGATCAGTACATTGCCGGCTCAACGGTCGAGACGACCGGACGCGTCCGGTCAGGACGATTCAGCGTCCGGTCAGTAGCAGTTTTGCGGGAGTTCGACCCCAACGGCTACTTTCTCAGTGGGGCTTATAAATACAACCCCCAACCGGCCATTTGAGTAGGGTGGAGCTGAGGAAACATATCTAGGGTGTTGATACACCATTTTAGTGATCTCCACTTGCATAGTGCTTAGTGTTTCATCAAGTGATTAGCGTAGGTGCTTTGCGAAGTGCTTAGATTGATTAGACCACCGCTTATGCGCTTGCTCTAGGTATATGCCTAGTGTTTAGTGAGGTTTGCATACCTCTTACCACCCCGTGCTTGCGAGCACAAGAGTTGTACATCGGAGGGGCTTGAAGTCTTGCGAGATCGCACCAACCGCGTTTGTGGTGCGGCCGCCACCGTGTACCGAAGGGAACAAGGCCCGCGGCGTTTTGACCGAAAGCTTGATAGTGAAGACGGCGGGGAGCATCCGGGAGAGGCTTGCCGGAAGGCACGTCGGAGACCCACTTGCGCGTGGGGAAGGCCCGAGGCTATCCACGGAGTTACCCGACCGAGAGCTTGGCCCTTGCGAGGGGCTCCAACGAGGACTAGGGGGAAGCTTGCGCGCTTCTCGATACCTCGGTAAAAATACCGGAGTCATCGACGGGAGTTTGCATATCTCTACCTTGCTCTTTAAGATTTCGCATTTACATTGATCATATTATTATCATATGCGATAGAGATAGCAACACACTAGCAAAACCGTAGTTACACAGCTAGATAGATTATCTTTTGCATAGGTTTTGCTACAAGTAGAAAAAGAGGTCATAGTCTAGAGTTAGATTTTTAAGTTGCCTAATTCACCCCCCTCTTAGGCGTCCACGTGTCCTTCAACAAATATAAAGGAGATACTCAAATACATGGAAAATTAGAGGCAGGTATTAGCAAACTTTTGTGTTTACCATGGTGCACATGCATCGGGGGAAAGCCGGAAAGGGAATGCCAACGTGGCTTCGCCCCTGGTGGATGCAAATCAATTGAGTAACTTTATTTGGCGTAACTATTTCTATTGCACTTGTATGCTCGAATCATATCCACTGAAGATGAATTATAGTCATATACTTAGGCAACAACGAGAGTGTGCTTAGACCATTATCTTGGACTCCCTCAGTTCCGAAATAATCGCAAGTCTAGCGTTCAAAAAATTTCCCGAAATAATTGAACACCTTCACATACGGCAACAAGCCAGCTATCCCATCGGCGTGACAGACTGAACAGCCACAGGTTACTGCATCTGCACCTCCATACTCGTGGCAGCGCTGCAACGTTTGCCCAGCGTGTGGGCCCAAGAAAATATGAAAACAACAAAAAAAGGAAGGAAGCGTGGGAGGCTCCACTGCTCCAGAAGGTCCTGTCCACTCGTTTTCCTCGTTTACGCGATCCTTCGGTCGCGCTCGTGTGTCGTCGACACACCTGACGCCTCCCTGCAAGGGCATTTTCGTAATTTGGCATGCAGTGTAGAAATGCAATTATTCTGGAACGGAGGGAGTATCGATTACACTCATTTTTTGGGCCACACGTGCAATTTGTTTCAGCGCAACAGGAAGATTATTAAAGAGCAAACTAGATTTAAAGATCTTTTCAATGATATTAATTATGTACTATAAATATTAATATTTTTTTAATATATATTTAATTAAAATTGTTTATCGGGAAGCGAAAACGACACATATATACAAACAGACGGAGTAGCGTGTTCGTTCCCAAAGTCAAAACACGGCAATGGTCAATTCTCAAGCCGTATGGCTGCTCGCCATAGTAGTCAGGCATGACGACGCTGTGCAAAGAATACTAACCAAGAGTGACGTGATGGAGATGGAGTCAAATGCAGCAACCTGTCTAGAAGAATGGCGGCTGGACTTTCTAATCTTCTAGTTGAACTGAACAGTTAGTACCGAGTAATTCACTGTTTCAACCTTTCAAACAAAAAACAGTCATCAGAAGAGAATTCGAGTTTGACCGACCACACGACACGTCTGCAGGAGTGCAGATAACTTGCTTCCCTTTGAAGCAAGCAAAGCAGATCATAGCAAGTAGTAGTAGTACCGCTACCACCCACCGAAGCAGGAGTGCTTGCTGTTGTCTCCTCCTGGCCGGGCTCTGGCGGCTGCGGTGGGCCGGTGGCGCTCGCTGCATCTAACCGGGCCGGCGGGCCCACGTGGCAGCGTCAGGCGGGCCGATGAGCTTTGGAATCCACGCGTCTCCTCCCCTTTGCCTCGCAAAGTCGCAACTCGCAAGCCTCTCGCGACATTCGACGATTCGACTCCCACTACCCCCGTCCCGTCCGCCGCTGCTGCCACCAGCCACCAGCACCCGGCAGAGCAACCCCGCGCCCCCCGCCCCCCGCGCGTCATTGACTCCCGCGCGCCGGCGAATATTCTCATCCGCTGCGGACGCGGGCAGGGGCAGTTCCGTCCGACGAGTCGCAGGAAGCCCCCGGGGTACAATTAACGCGGGGGGTGGTTCGGTCAGTCCTCCCCCTCCCTCCCTCCCCCTCCCCACTACGCGCAGGCGCAGCAGCAGCAGCAGGCCAGCAGCGTACGACCTTTTTCTGGTTCCGTGTGCGGCTGTGCGCTCGCGCTTTTCTTCTCCGTCTCCTCCCACCGCGGCAAGCTTCCAGAAACAAGGGAACCGGAGACCAAGGAGCCGAGTCGCTCCAAATGCTTTGATCTCCGGCCGTGGGCTCTCCTCCCGGCCGATCCCTCCTCCTCCATGGCGCGCGTCCTCCCGCTCAGCATCGAGGCGGGGGAGATGGCCAGGTACACGCGCAGCGGGGCTGCTGCCGTTTCTTCATCAACTTCAGAGTTCAGATTACCTCTTCTCTTCCTTCTCTCTCTCCCCCCCTGGAGATTTTGCTTCAGCGGTAGCCGGTAGGCTTGAGAGAATCTGGTCGGTATTTCTGTTGATTTTGAGTGTTGCTTATGACGCGTAGTGTAGCCGCCGCCCGCAGGCACAGGTGGATTTCGCTTGTTTAGGAGGTTTCATTCATCCGTCCCAAAGCCCGGTGTAGTTAGTATCGCCAGCTGCAGATTGCGTTCAGGGAGGAAGATGCTCTTCTTGCTCCCTTCCGCTTGGTCGGGAATGTGCCGTGGCCCCCACTTTTGGCTTGTTCGGTGCGTTTAAGTTTCCAAGAATGGCGGTAGGTGCTGCCTTCGGAGCAACGGCGGCCGCCGCCGACCAGCCACCGTAGCTGCCGAACGCCACGCGTCGCCGTGTGGTCACCACGGGTGCACGCCACGCGTGGATCTTATCCTATTTAAAACGTACTGTCCGGTCTTAAGCTTGGTCGAATTGGGGAACATAATTATTACACTAGTTAACGATGTTCCAACTTCTAAGTTACTACAATCATATCCAATTTCTTAGTCTCTTTCCTAATCATCTCGATTGAACCACTGGCCGTTGCACTGCACCATCCGGTGGGTGGTTTCAGAGACTAGTGTGGTGGATGTGGATGAACATGAACCGATGGACAAGTGCAAGTGGATGCCTTTGACAATCTTGCTAGGCGTAATGTTTGCACTGATATAGTTGGAATATTACGTCAAATAAAGAAGATAAAATGGAAACTTTTGTGCGGGTAATTCGACTTTGTTTCACTAGGGTCGTCAAATATGACTTTGAAATAAAGAGGACAGGAAATGCAGGTCTTGTTGTGCTACTAATTTTAGCCAGAGAGTACCAGCACTTCAACTTCCATAGAGACTGCAATCTAGAACCTATGTTCCCCTCATTCCGGGGCCAGGGATTCTATTGTGCATGTGTAATACCCTGGTATTGTATATATTGCAAAATGAGATCTCATTAGTCATTACAGTAACACGTGAGCCATATGAGGTTCCTTAGTTTCCCTTCTTGGATACATGCTACAAGTATGCCACAGCCTTACATTGACATGTTAATAATTAATTTTCATAATGTTGCCTTTCGTTGATAAACAGAGGCGAAGAGGCAGTGGCAGGCATGCCAAGGTCTTCAGCTGGGGCGTCATGCACAACAGTTGACCATTCTGAGCAGAACACAAAGGATGACGAATATGCGAGGCTGGTTACACGGACTCAACATGCAACATCTGATGTTGGCACGGCAATTTTATCTGAGCAACCAAAGTCAAGATCTTTCATTTGGTGGATGAAAGTTCTGCTTGGCTGCTTCCTTCTTATATTAGTGGGTTATGTCTTCGTGAAATGGGGAGTCCCCTTTGCCTTCGAGAAGGTAAACACTGGTGCTCTTTCTCACCACTTTTGCAGGCATTCTTTTCTGTAACCTGAAAGGTCTTGTCATCTGCGTAGATGAATCAGATTCTTTGGGTAATACTAGGACAACAACAATTAGGTTTCAGAGATAAACTGAAATATGCTACTTGGAAAGCTCTTAAAGGATAGTTACAAATTTTTTGTCTGATGGCTTATTTGATTGATCTGGTCCCTGGGGATCAAATCTACAAGAATATATGTTTCTTATGCTTGCTAGTTACTTCAAACTATCATGATAAACAATATGCAAGATGTCTTTACTATTTTGAATTAAAAACAATTAGATTTTAGATGTATATATATGCCCTAAAGCTTGTAGTTCAGAAATTGTCACTCAGTAACAAACACATGGTACCAGGGCCCATGTCTCAATTGTATCATACAGAACTTGTTATTTTTCTCTTAAAAAGCAGTGGATATGTTGTACTTTTAATTGGCAAACATCCTAGCACACTCTTATCATTTTGTAACAAGCAGTTGATATGTTGTAGTTTAAGTGAAATGTAATTTTTGGTCTATGTATCAATTGTGCCATTCTTCTTCATGCTATTTGTGTCTGTTCCATGCATTTCTCCAATGTTGACACAGAATGTACTTTGTCTATTTGCTGTAGGTTCTCTTGCCAATCATGCAATGGGAAGCAAGTGCTTTTGGGCGTCCAGTATTAGCTGTTGTTCTCGTTGCATCTTTGGCTCTCTTTCCAGTTATTCTAGTCCCTTCTGGACCTTCTATGTGGTTAGCAGGAATGATCTTTGGATATGGTTGGGGTTTCTTGATTATAATGGTCGGGACTACTATTGGCATGGTGGTACCGTATTGGATTGGCTCATTATTCCGTGAACGTCTGCATGTAAAATTTCTCAGCCTTATGTGTGATTTGTAATTTAAGAGGTAGATCTTTTCTATGACAGGATTATTCCCTAATTCGTTTTTTTTTCTCTACTTCCTTTTTTTTTAAATGCAGGTATGGTTAACAAAATGGCCTCAGCAGATAGCATTAATAAAACTTATGGGTGAAGGGAATTGGTTCCAGCAGTTTCGGGTTGTTGCACTTTTCAGAATCTCGCCATTCCCATATACAATTTTTAATTATGCATGACTGTGACAGAAATTAAGTTCAACCCTTATCTGTGTGGTTCTGTTGCTGGAATGGTACCTGAGGCCTTCATCTATATCTACAGGTTAGATATGATCTCTATCACATTGCAGATTATTGATCCATTCAACTTAGCATGGTTTGTTCATCACCATCTAAATCTCTAACCTCTACTTGTGTGCTGTAATTCTTTGCACATGATTCACATACTCAAAAACTAGCATGCTGAGTTTCTGACCATGAATCTAGTTAATCATTTTTTCTTATACGAGTTCACCAGTTGAAGGACATCTTGCTGTACTCTTCTTATAAGCTATAATCTGACCATGTAGAAGTTAGTTTATTTGAAAAGTTTTATGTAGTTTTTTTGGTTGCCAGTAAATTCGACAGCTTACCCAACATACTTACTTCTTAAGTTACTGAATGCGCTCATATGCTTTATCTTAATAGGTACTTTGTGATTTGCTTATTTCGTTATGTGTTTGGTGCAGTGGGCGTTTAATACGTACATTGGCTGACATGAAGTACGGCAACTATAAAATGACACCAGTGGAAATAGCATACAACGCCATTTCCTTCGTCATCGCTATCGTCCTCACAGTCAGCTTCACGGTGTACGCCAAGAGAGCTCTGAATGACATAAAAAGTTCGGACGGTATCAGCAAGGAAGAAGATCATGGCCCAAATGGCTCAGGGGCACGTATGAGTCATCGTCAGGAGCGTGCCGATGTACGTTCCATAGAACTAGATGTTGTATGACGGTGTGTTCTGTTGACCGGGAGGTTGCTTGGAAGGAGGTAGGCAGGTCAGTAGGTGCAGGGTTACGCCAGGTAGGTAGCTATAGGTTAGAAGAGGAGGTTAAATAATACACACCCAGCTGACGTGGTTTTCTTGATTCAATTCGTGTGCTTTGCCTGCACACGGCCATATTGAATCTGAAGGTGCATGAATACTGAGTTACTGACCGAGCGTTGCTGCTCTCAGCGATGTTTCTGTGACCATTATGTTGTTAGTGATGGAAACATTGAGATTCTGTAGAGTGAGAATCACCGGCTTGCAACGAGCTACCACAGCGGGCGGACATTCCAAGCATATCGATCGACCTTGTCCTTGGTCTGAAGCTTACACTGGAGCTTCATGTTTGTTGAAGCGTACATTGGAATAGTACATTTGTATATATAATAATAACATAACTTCCGATATAGTTAGCATATGATCTAATTTTGAACAGGAATCTCATGAGGCCCGTTCAGCGATGTTTGGTATTTCATATTTGGGATCTTGAATCTGTGCGTCTACGCAGAATACAACTTTCCCCAATTCGTTGAACCGTTTTGTTTTGCATGAAAAAAATGCAGGCGAGCGAGTTGGGGAGCACACGGCCGTGGAGCTTTACAGCATTTGGGCTGGACAGTAAGCGGTTGCCTAGGCCGCGCAGTCCTCTGGGCCAGTGTCCATCATCAGTGCGTCTGGCTGTGGCCTGCAGGAAATGGAAATCCACGGCGTAGGTGGCAGTGCGCGCGGCACGGCCGGCGCTTGCGCCTTTAGTCCCAAACCGATTGCTGAAGCCAGTGGCAGCAGGGAGCGCTGCTATTTAAGAGGGCCAGGAGCTCCACGAGAGAAGCACGCAGCTGCGCAGTGGGCACATAGCGAACTATTCTTTCGCCTTTTACTAAAGAATACCGTGTGTCCGCTGCAATAAGCAGCATACGCCTATTTTTGGAGGGTTCTTCTCTGTGAGGAGAAGCCCAACAATTCAATATAAATTTTATATGTCATCCCATCTAAACAAATAAAGTCAGCCCATCCAATCTAAACTTTTGTGAAAGTTGAAATCTAAAACTGGTTAAACCACCTCTTCGTTTTATCTCTAACCGGTTATATGCGGTTTGTATTGACGGTTTTGTCGGTTTATATTTTATTTATTTTGGCTGAATCTTGAAAAATTATAGTAAATTATAGAAAAATTATAAAATAGAAAATTTAATTTATATTTAACAAGCATAAATCGAAATAAAATTTATAATTAAGTTATACATGATCCAGTGATAATGAAATTTTTACTACAGTTTAAACATTCAATAATTAGCCTAGAAACTACATCTATGAATTATTATATTTAATTAGAGAAATATATAGATCTAAAGCGACTGCAAAAACTTTGTACTAAAGCCTATCATATTATGTTCATTGTGTAGATTTACTCACGTGGAGTCCAATAAAATTAGATTTTCTATTTTATAATTTTTCTAACAAAATTAGATTTTTCATTTTATAATTTTTCTATGATTTACTATAATTTTTAAAGATTCAGTCAAAATAAATAAAAAAGAAAAAAACAAAACCACATTCAAAACTGTTTATAACAGGGCGGGAGGTAGGATAAACGGTTTTAAAAATTAAGGAGATGTTTTTGCCTGCTTTTATAGTTTACGGAGAAAAAACGGATTTTTGCGAAAGTTATAAAGGTAAAATAGACTTTTTTTTTCATTGAAATTGTGCAGGCGGGCGAGACCGGCAGCCGGCAGCGCCGGCGTCCCTGCGCCGCAGTTCACAGCATTTGTTTGGACCGGACAGCAAGCGGCTTCCTAGGCCACGCAGTCCTCTGGGCCAGTGGGCATCATCACTGCGTCTGACTCTGGCCTGCAAGAAGTGGAAATCCACGGCGTAGACAGCGCGCGCGGCACGGCCGGCGCTTGCGCCTTTAGTCCCAAACCGATTGCTGAAGCCAGTGGCAGCAGGGAACGCTGCGATTTAAGAGGGCCAGGAGCTTCATGGAAGAAGCACGCTCTGCGCAGTGGGCACAGAGCGAACTATTCTTTCGCCTTTTACTAAAGAATACCGTGCGTCCGCAGCAATAAGCAGCATACGCCTATTTTTGAAGGGTGCTTCCTCCTACGTGAGGAGGAGCCCAACAACTCAATATAAATTTATGTGTCAGCCCATCTAAACAAATAAACTCAGCCCATCTAATCTTAACTTTTGTTGTGAAAGTTGAAATCTAAAACTGGCTAAACCACCTCCGGTAATAAGCGGTTTTTATAGACGTTTTTGTTTTTTTATTTTTTAATTATTTTGGCTGAATCTTGGTAAATTATAGAAAATTTATAAAATAAAAAATTTAATTTTGTTGAGCTTTTATTTGAGTAGATTTACAGTAAACATATAATATGGTATGTTTTAATATAATTTTTTTAGTTTTAGATCTAAGTTTTTGTGTGGTGGGATAATTATTGTTTGCTTTAACTATAGTAAAAATTTGATACTCATGGGATAATGTGTAACTTAATTTTAAATTTATAAATACTTTTAATAATCATACATCTAAATAAATCTATAACTAAGTTATACATGATGCAATAAGTTCACCATAAAAACCGCAGCTATGAATTAATTATAGAAAAGTATAGATCTAAATCTGTAGCCAAATATTTGTACTAAAGCATACCATATTATATGTTCACTGTGTAGATCTACTCACGTGGAGTCCAACAAAATTAGATTTTTTATTTTATGATTTTTCTGTGATTTACTATGATTTTTCAAAGATTTAACCAAAATAAATAAAAAGAAAAAGACAAAACCGCTTATAAGGAGGTAAAAACGGTTTTAAAAATTTAGGGAGATGGTTTATTCGGTTTTAGAGTTCAGGAAGGAAAATGAGACGTTCGTCAAAAATTGAGGGAGGTAATATGGACTTTTTTCTTTGTGAGGGTTCTTTCTCCCTTGCCCAACAATTCAATGTAAGTTTTGTGTCAGCCCGTCTAAAGAATACCGTTGCCCCTGCTGCATCAAGCAGTATACGCTTATTTTTGTTGGGATCTTTCTCCATTTTGAGGAGCCCAACAATCCAATAGAAGTTTTTGTTGTTTTTCAGTTCAGCAACTAATGAACTGCACTTTCCCTCGGGGGAAAAAAAACTAATGAACTGCACTACAGTAATCTTCCCTTTGATCACTGCTTGCAGCTGGAACAAAACAACAAAAGCAAGTGCTTCGTTGGGCGATACAAGTAATTCAGAACCGTCTGATGAGACTGTCTACATTTGTTAGTCCGTCTGATGAGATTGTCCTTATAAAACTCTTTCGGGTAGTTTATACCTCAACTGTCAATGAAACACAAGCGAAACCATGCTTGAGTAAAAGTTTAAACAATTCAGCTGCAACTGTATGGTTCAGTAGTTTGAGAGGTTCGTTTGACACGAGCTGCGTAGAGACATTTCTTTCCAGGTCAGAGTTTTCTGATATGATAGATACAATTCCACGCAATACATGTCAAACCATGCTTGCTTCAGTACAGCTTTTTTTTTAATACATGTAAGGAATGAAAGAATTTGTATAAAACCTTGTGGTTAACTACCTGTATCACATCCTTCAGTAAACAATGTGTATTAGTATATGTATACTGTATAGTGTATAGTACAACCTGCCCTATGACATCTACTACTCAAGCAGTATGTTCCATTATTTTCCCTGGCCCCTACCTACCTATTATACACACCTTCATCGTCCATTGAATTGTCTAAGGATTCTTCAAAACTTTTCACATCTTCATTCATCGAATTGTCCGAGGATTCTTCAAGAAAAATTTCAGCTGCAACTGCAAGCCTGCAACTGCGCTCGTCAGTCAGCTGCGGCTGGCACTGCAACTGCAAGTGCACCGTGCTGCAGAGGCGACCGGAACGCCTCCCTCGGCGTGGACGCCTCGCACCCCCTCGCTGACGCTGGCTGGTTGAAGCTTCGCCTAAGCGGCGAGGCGAACCGGGAGGCGGCGGTGGCGGCGGCGGCGGCATTGCACCTCGGCGAGAGGTTCAACTGCTCCAGCGCCTGCAGCTGGAGCTCCGACGGGTAGTCGCGGACGCACCCGATCCGGGGCCCCGCCCCCGTGGTCCACTTGAACGACAGCTGCTTGCCCAGCTGGTACGACTTCATCTCCTTCTTGGAGTTGATCCGCTGCAGGATCTTCTCCCGCGACACTGGCGCCTGCTGCTCTTCGGCCGCCTCCTGATCGACGTCTTCTGATGGTTCTAGCCGTGCCGTTGCAGTTTCTTCTTCGCGTCTCCGGGTATCTGTACTGCCACTGCCAGCAGCTTCAGGACCGGTTTCTTCAGGCGCAGCCGTTGTTTGGTCTTGCGTTTTCTCGCTCTCTGAAGTGATTCTCCTGAGACTGCCCCAGAACTCCTCATCCTCCTCATCTGGGCTCATCTGCAGCAAGCGAGTTCACAGAAAAGAATTAACCTCACGTCAACTATAGAGATGTTCAGTTAGCTTTCTGAATGATCAGGGTTGCGATGCGCCAACCTTAACATCGGTTAGATCAACCAAGTTGTCCTTGAGGAAGCTCTTAAACTCTTGGAAGTTCTCCTCTGTCGGCCGGTAGTGCCCGCTGTGAGGCCAAATAGCCTGTCACACAAACATAGCAGATTTGCCTCGGCACGATATCTAACAAAGTGGTAACTGAAAAAGTGCAACTGAAAATCTACTCATGGTAGAATGATAGTAGATTGATAGGTACCTTCAAAGTTCCGTCCTCAACAACCAATCGCCCAGCAGCAGAAGTGGCCCCTCCAGCAAGGAAGCTAGAGTGTTGAAATGTTCCCTTTTTCTTCTGCATTTGGTTTGAAGTTACAGGACAATGTTACACGATGAACAGATAATTCTAGGCTTGAGTGAAACTTTTCCAATGCGACGGCATCAAAATATTTACCTGGCCAACGTACAAGTTCTTAGACGTGCTAAGAACAAAGATCCACTTTGCGTCTCGCGGTCCGCAAGAAGTGTCAAGGATTTGCCCACTTTTCTTGTACAAGAACTTGCCGTCCTCGATTACGACTTCATAGTCCTCTCTTTCTTTCTGCGCAAATATAAGCATGGTACATTAGCCATCGTAGTTTTTTTTTTCACTTTCCTCAGTCAATCTCTCTGTTCTGTGAATACTGAATACTTACTGGTCCAAGGTACTTGATGCACTGGCTCAGAAGCTTTGATCTTGAGCACTTGCCTTCAAGATTGATCTCCCTGCCTTCTCCGACATCAAGCCTGCATCGCCAAATCAAGATCATCAGCTTAAGTTGTCATTGCAGCCAGCGGCTGAAACTGTGAAATCAGAGATAGTAAGAGAGTTAGTACTAACCAGTAGAAGAAAGGTTGCTTGCTTTCGGAGTGGAGCCAGCAATCATAGTAGTAGTGAAGATTATGGCCGTACCGGTGCCGAGGGTCAATCTGTTCATCATAAAACAATTTTCAGTTTGATGAAAAGTTAGTACTGCATATTATATTATTGGCTGCAAAAATATGAGTAGAAACTAGTACAAGACTGTTTAGATTCGCAGACTGAGATGCTCACCGCTTCGAGCCAGTGCTGCAACGCAAGCTTCTGAGCGTTCTCGTCCTTGAGCAACCCCTTCCCGACCTTGGCGACCCGCGTCCTCGCCCTTGACCACTTGGACATGGCGGTCTCCTGCTTCTCGATGTCGAAGAAGGAGACGGAGCTGCGCTTGAGCAGCGCG